AATATGGAGGAAGAGGAGGGGGCGGAGGCAAGGTCGGCGTCGATCGACGTCGATCGACGAGATCGCGCTGCAGGATCGACGTCGATCGACGTCGGCACGGGCCCACGGCAGCTTCGTCGTGAACCTCGTGCTTCGTCCCTTGAGGCCGCAGGGCGCAGCGGCGCCCGCGCGGCACACTCGCAGGTTCGTGTCGTGCCGATTTCGGCGTTGTTTCCCGACACCGCGGGGATCGTTCAATCCTCCTCCTCCTCCTCCTCCTCCTCCCTCCTCCCCCCCCCTCATCCTCCTCCTCCCCCTCCTCCTCCTCCTCTCCTCCTCCTCTCTCCTCCTCCTCCTCCTCCTCCTCCTCCTACTCTCCTCCTCCTCCTCCCCGCCCCTCCTCCTCCCCTCCTGCCTCCCTCCTCCGCCTCCTCCTCCTCCTCGTCGCCCTCCCCCTCCCCCCTCCTCCCCTCCTCCTCCTCCTCCTCCTCCTCCTCCTCCTCTCCCTCCTCTCCTCCTCCTCCTCCTCCCCCCTCCTCCTCCTCCTCCTCCCCCTCTCCTCCCTCCTCCTCCTCCTTCCTCCTCCTCCCTCCTCCTTTTCCTCCTCCTCCTGCCCTCCTCCTCCTCCTTCTTCCTCCTCCTCCTCCTCCTCCTCCTCCTCCTCCTCCTCTTCCCTCTCCGTGCTCCTTCCCCTGGCGGAGGTCGCGGGCTTTCCTCGCGGCGCACGAGGGCGACTCGCCGCGCACCCCGAGCGAGGGCCGCCTCGCGAGTTGCTGCCTCGTCGCCCAGTACGCGCTGGTGCCCGGGCCCGGCGCCGCAGAGGCCGCGGCCGGCGGCGGCCGGGCACCGTCGACACCGTCGGCCTTGCAAACATGAAGGAGACAACGACGAACATACAAGCAACGACAATGACAAACAACATGACATACGTCGAAGATGAAAAGAGCACACATAAGCATAATTTTGTTGGCGCTCCGCGCGGACTTCTTGGATCCGCGCCTGGGCCCCCTGGCGGCGCCTCCGGCGCCGCCCCTGGCGCGCTCCGCGCGCCAGGAGGGGGGTCCAGTGCGAATCCAAGAAATCCGTGCGGAGCGCCAAAAGTTTATATTCACGTGGTTTTTCTTCTCAAGCATGAAGGAGACAACGAAAATACAAGCAACGACAATAACACATGACATACGGTGGGGCATTGGATAAGGATCCTTGAATAAGGAATCCAGAGTCTGGAAGCCGGTGAAACTCCGATCGTGGTTCGGCCATGGATAACACTGCCGCCCTCATCAGATGAGGAATCCCCCAGTGTCTGAAACCTGCTGGGCCTATTCCTTAACGAATGCCTCCACCGTAAGCAGTGAACAAATAAACACCGATCAAACAATCCAAGAAATAGCGAGGCGTCCTGCAATAGGGGAACGAACAATTACATAAACATGAGAACTCAAAGGTCCGCCCGGATTCCTCGGATCGCGCTGGAGCCCCCTGGCGGCGCCTCCGGCGCCTCCCCTGGCGCGCTCCGTGCGCCAGGGAGGGGGGTCCAGCGCGGATCGAAGAAATCCGCGCGGACCTTCGACAGTTTGTGTTTCTGCAGTTTGTTGTTCCTCTCAGGACTGTAGTTGTTCTCGCTCTTGTCGGCCTCTGGGAGCAACCACTCGGGACCTCTGGGGGTCCCCCCTCTTGTGACAGATCGTTGCATCTGCGGTCTGAGAGCGCAGGGGGGGCTCCTCCGAAGAGGAAGTTGTTCTGTCCCCTGGCGTGACCGGGGCGGGGGGGTGGGAGGGGGGGGAAAAGGGGCCGGTCACGTCACGAGTCGCGCTGGCGCCGTGTGGGGGTGCCTAAGAGCGGCTCATTCCCAGACGGCGCCGGCGCGAATCGTGACGTGGCCGGGGGAGGAGCGGAGGGGGGAGAGGGGACAGGGTCAGTCACGAGCGTTCTTGCGAATACAAGCAATGATTGCTTGGCGCAGGGGGGACTTCTCCAAAAGAATGCGGCTAGATGTCAAGGGAGTATATAAACCCTGACTTTGGATCCGCCGTACTATCGTTGATTTTCGGTGTGAGAATTGTGTAGGACATGCACCCCGAACGATGCGAAAAAGTAGGGCGGATATTTCCGCCTCAGGTATAGTAGTGCGGGCATGTACGCAAAGGTGTGGCGGAAACAGCGACACCAAAGTAGGGTGGAAATCGACATCAGAGGAGCTTGAAAAGTAGGGCTGACATTTCCGCCCTACCTACGAAAGGCGTTCCAAATACGTCGGACTCGAAATCAGGCAAGGGGTAAAGGTACGGATAATTATTGCTACGGCTGGATGCATCTTGATTCCCCCAGCCCATGGACGGAGGATTGAAGGGGCGCTGGGACCGGCCCGTCTAGGAAGGCCGCCGTGCTCACGTGGACCCTCTCCACGAGCTTCTCCCCTCCGGGCGAGGTGGGCGCAGAGCGACCAGTGGTCGTCTGCCAAGCGCTGTTCGCTGGCAGTTTTGCACGTGTGCTCTTCACAACATACGTACTGAGTGGTGTTCTGACTGAGGCGCGTTACCAGACGTAGCGGCTCGCACGCATGTGCCACGCCTCAATCCGGCACCCTGATCGGGAGGCGCTCGTTGACATCTTAGCAGGCGCTCTGCATTGTGCCGTAGTAGCCCCGTGCGCAGGGTGCTGGGATTTGGACAGCGCAGTGGTACGATTTGCTTGTGCTTGTCCAGGTAACTTGTTTGTTCGAGGCGCGCCACGCAGGTCCATATCGGAACGACTCGGCCGAATTCGGCGGCTTTGGGCACTTCGTAGCAGCTGTAGCCTGCAGCCCGACGATGACTTCAAGGCTTCGGCCATCACGCCCACGCTGCCCCGCTGTGGGTTTGATGTGGGCCTGGAGCCAAATCGACTATATATATGTATGTATAGATATATGTATGAACAGATATCGTCGCAGATCTATCCCATCGCGCGCTCTCCTTTGTTTCGTCGCTTCTCTGTCGATGCCCTGGATAGTATAGGGGGAGCTGCGGCAGGGGCGGCTGACAGGTTACCGTCGCTGAGCACTTGGCGACGCTCTCCAGCTTCAAGCCCGGCGCCCAGTATCGCCTGCAGGCCTTGCCGGAATATACGGTTCCGCTGCGTCTTCTCCGCCTGGCCGCCCCCACAGGGATTCGGGTATGGCTTCCCTCAGCTATCTCACCATGTGTTAACCCATTATTTCTTGCCCGACAGGCTCACGCAGCTCCGCCGACCTCTAGCAGAAATGTGCGGCTCCCGATCTCGTGTGTGCTGTCGGCTGCGTCCCGTCGTGCTGCCTGCGTGTGGGTATTATTTCTGGTTTGCCCCACCTCTTTCCCCGCCTCTGTCGCGGAACTTCTTGGTGGGGAAACCAAGAGGTACCGATGCCGCCACATTCCCCGGACCTCTCGAACCCAGATGTCGAGGCGAGCCCAGCGGTGGCGACGAGGGCCTCCCAGGAGGCCCCCACAGGAGGAAACCGGTGCATGGGGTAGCTGTACGCCCTCGACCTGCACCCTCCGCACCTTCCGCGCGGCAGGTGCCGCGCTGCCGCGGCCGCCGCCGCGGCAGCAGCGGCGGCCACCGTCGAGGCAGCAGCGGCGGCCGCCGCGATGCGGCTGCGCGGAAGAGGAGGGGAGGAGGAGGAGGAGGAGGAGGACGGAGGAGGAGGAGGAGGAAAGAGGAGGAGGAAGGAGGAGGAGGAAGGAGGATAGGAGGAGGGAGGAGGAGGAGAGGAGGAGGATGGAGGAGGAGGAGGCGGAGGAGGAGGAAGGAAGGAGGAGGAGGACGAGAGGAGGAGGCAGGAGGAGAGTAGGTGCGAGGAGGAGGAGGTCGGAGGAAGGATGGATAGTGAGGAGGAGGAGGAGGAGGAGGAGGAGGAGGAGGAGGAGGAGGAGGAGGAGGAGGAGGAGAGAGGAGGATGAGGAGGGAGGAGGGGAGGAGGTAGGAAAAGGCGGAGGAGGAGGAGAGGTACGAGGAAGAGGAGGAGGAGGAGGAGTGAGAGGAGGAGGAAGGAGGTGGAGGAGGAGGAGGGGGAGGGTGAGGAGGAGGAGGGAGGTGAGGAGGGAGGGAGGAAGGAGGGAGGAAGGAGGAGGAGGAGGAGGAGTGAGGAGGAGGAGGAGGGAGGTGGAGGAGGCGTGAGGAGGAGGAGGAGGAGGAGGAGGAGGAGGAGGAGGAGAAGGAGGAGGAGGAGGAGGAGGAGGGAGGAGGGGGAGAGGTGGGGAGGGGTGGGGATAGGGGGAGGGGGGAGGGGGAGGGGGAGGGGGGGGGGAGGATAGGAGGTGGAGGAGGAGGAGGAGGAGGAGGAGGAGGAGGAGGAGAGGAGGAGGAGCTGGAGGAGCAGGAGGAGCAGGAGGAGCAGGAGGAGCAGGGGGAGGAAGGAGAGGAGGAGTAGGAGGTAGCAGGAGGGGAGGAGGAGGGGAGGAGGCGGTAGAGGAGAGCAGGAGGGAGCAGGAGGTAGGGAGCAAGGGGGCAGGAGGAGATAGGAGGAGGAGGAGTGGGGAGGAGGTGGAGGGAGGGGGAGGAGGAGGAGGAGGAGGAGGTGGAGGAGGAGGAGCAGGAGGAGGAGGGGTGGGTCCTCATGGAGGCGCTCGGGGGTCGGCCTCTCGGGCCGCTCGGGAGCCGTGTCGGGTCGCCTCGCTTCTTCGCTCCCGGCTGGCCTTCGCATGCCTCGGGCGCCCCCGGGCCTCCGACGTCATTGAGCTTCTCGAGGCGACGAGGTGGACGAGGTGGAGGAGAAGAAGGGAGGGGGAAGGGACGAACTGGAGATCCTCCTCCTCCTCCTCCTCCTCCTCCCTCTCCTCCTCCTCCTCTCCTCTCCCGTTCTCGGCCACACCTCGTCGTAATCCAGAGTCTCCAGAGCCTCCCTCCTCCTCCTCCTCCTCCTCCTCCTCAC